GATTTTAACTTTTTTTGGAATGACTATGACCTGAACAACTGAGAATCTTCACCAGCATACATTAACATACAAATATGAACTGTATTAATATTGATTTATTTGATATTTTTGCACATAGTTTGACCGCTGCTGTTCTGTTTGTGTGCAGCTCAGACCGACGTCCATCGAAAAGGAAATATTTCCTGTCATGGCAGGGGAGAGCCATCTGTACGCCATGGAGCTGCAGGGTAACTATCAGTCAGACGGTACCATTAGCCGGCTGCAGGCTTAGAACCCAGTCCAAAAGAACCGGCTCTATTATAGCTTTTCTTTCCTTAAAGCCAGCAGCTGAGTGCATGACAGAATTTACCAAGTGCTGTCAAACACAGCAGCAGTTTCAGTAAACAAACCATTAGAAAGATGGAGATGATGTGTTCAGAATAGTAAGAATAGAATCTGTATCTACCAGAGGATTTAGAAATGATGTTTTTTGCTTTTTTTAGAGCAGAAAGTGTACCAAAGATAAAGGCTGGTTTAGTTTGTAGCTCATGGTGGGAGGGCTCAGTTCTTCCTGTTTTAGCATCAGAATAAAAATATTTATGGTGGAGAAAAAAAAAAATGACCCACTCTGGTTTTTTGCAGCTCACAGCTCCACCAGACGTAAGTGTTTGGATCTTTTCTCACATCCAAACGTTTGTAGTTCTGGAGAGGAGACGACCGTAGACGAGCGCAGAAATAGAGCAGAAATACGGAGTCAATTTTGTTCCATTATTGTTACAAAAACAGGTTTTGTAAATGAATAAAAAAAATGTTACAGATTTCATTTTTTATGTATATATATTTTTTTCAGATTATTTTTTTTTTATCTATTTGTTTTACTTTTTATTTTACGGGTTATATATTTTCAAATATCTGTTTCTCAGTTTGAGTTTTACAAATTGCTGTCTTTCCTCTGGAGTGAGGAAGTAAAGACGCGTTTCTATCAGTCTGCTGGACGTTAGCAACGATATTTTAGTTTTTTGTATTTTTTAATGGTCATGAGTGAGAGTTTTTAATAAGCTTGAAGTGAGGAGAATGCGACGTGTAAAATGCAGTTTGATAAGCATGCATTCGTACAAATCAGTCTTAAACAGAAATTTAAGCAACATGAATCTTAGAAAACAGAAAAATTTCTCTGAGAACGTTTTTTTTTGTTAAAGAAGTTTAATTTCTTGGTTGCTTTTTCTTTAAATTTCCATTTTTAAAAAGGTTTTGTTTGCTTCTGACGATGTTGAAACAAAATTCACTCCATACAGAAATCCTTCCGGTCAGCCCATTGATCTGAACCGGGTGCTCGTCCACATCCCCGTCTCTTTCTCTCCTTCCTCTCGTCCTGTAGACACACCAGCGTTTCCAGTAATCAGTGTTTTTACCCCATAGGTAGCTGCTTAGAACGTTCTTTGCTTATTTAATAATTTGGGTCAAATTGATCTGCGTCGCTTTCAGGCAAACAGTCTGTTTCTGGGAGTTTGTTCAGCTTTTTCGTTTCCTGACCGCCTGTTCTCTGTAGGGTTCTGGATGGACATCGGCCAGCCCAAAGACTTCCTGACGGGAATGTGTATGTACCTGCATTCGCTACGGCAACACGCTCCAGAGAGGCTGCGTACGGGACCCGGTTTCCTTGGCAACGTCCTGGTGGTGAGTGCAGCTTGTTGATGAATTGATGGACGGAGGAGGAAGAACCACTAAACGGCCGGAACGGTCTGTCTGCAGGACCCGACGGCGCAGATCGGGGAGAACTGCACCATCGGGCCGAACGTCACCATTGGCGCCGGAGTCGTGGTGGAGGACGGCGTGAGGATTAAGCGATGCACGGTACTGAAGGGGTCGAGGGTGCGATCGCACTCCTGGTTGGAGAGCTGCATCGTCGGGTGGAGCTCCTCTGTGGGGCAGTGGGTGAGTGCAGGCGGGTCCCGCCCACCGGACGGCGATCACATGCATTTACAGTTGGACAGAACGTCCTCGGTCGAAGGGGTCAGGCCACCTTCTCCTCTTAATGAAACGTTTCATGTTTTCCCTAAAAATTTAAATAAGCTGTAGGTTGTTTTGAAATGCGACACATTTCCTCTGGCAGACATTTAACAAAAGAATTATTTGCGTTTTATCCAAAGTTCATGTCAGCAAAATGTTTCTTTAATTGACTAATAGAGCAGCAGAACCTTAGCATTAGCAGAGTGGTGGCGGCTTAGAGGTTGATTTGTTTCTGGGTTGTCTGTGTCTTCAGGTGCGGATGGAGAACGTAACGGTGTTGGGAGAGGACGTGATTGTAAACGACGAGCTCTACCTGAACGGCGCCAACGTCCTGCCCCATAAATCCATCAACGAGTCGGTCCCAGAGCCGCGCATCATCATGTAGCGCCACGCGGGGGAAGTGGGAGGAAAATCTGGACGTCATCATCCTCTGCTAACCGATCGGCCAGCGCTGTGCCTGCGTGAGGCGAGGAGAAACCCGACAGGTGGAAGATAAACGACCGGCGCTTTTCTTTTTTTATTTAAATTTGATTTGGACTCGTTTTTGGCCCTGCTTGGCTGCAGCCTCCTAAAGTCAGAAATCAGGACTCAAACGGCAGGGACTCCAAACTGACAGAGGTCAAACGCCTTCGTCCTGAAGGGGACGGACATGATGGAGGGGAAACGAAGGGAGGGGGTGGTGCACCTGGTGGTAGGGTAAAGATGGACGGGTTTCTGGGTGGTGGGCTTAGAGAAAGAAACATTGCTACTTTGACTTTATGCATTTAGTCTCTGAAGGATCAAACGACAGCCTCCATGTCCAAATCATGACTGTTGCTCAGAAAGTTTGAAAAACGTGTTAAAATGTGAACATTTGTTATTTCTCTGTCAGTCTGATGAATGTAGAGCAGCAGAACTTCGCCTCTAACATCAGAACCTGGAATGAGGTGAAGTGTGGAGCCGACATATAGTGAAGCAGTTTTAGATTAAAACTGATCAAACTCAACAGATTTCGTTTTTGTTCTTTATGAAAAGCTGTTCCAGTTTTCCACGCATCAGGGAGAGGACATCCCAGCAGCGAGCCATCATTTAAAGTCGTAGGGAAATCATATTTAAATATCAAATCATTCTGGCTCAAACATGTACGGCTGGAAGCCTTCTACACCAAACCAAGCTTCTGCCGCCCTGGCGTCCTCTTCCACAACATCTGCG